AGAGGAAATGTATAAGATCAGAAGGCTATAAAGGTCGATTTGAAGAAAAAAAAGAAACGGAAACAAAGAAATTGTAAATTAGAAGAATCATATATAATGTGAAGGACAAATGATGGTAATTTGCAATTAATGTATTTTTTGTATGCCTGTTACCCTTCATGGTGGAGTATAGGCCGCTCACCAATATTCTCCATCAAACTCTATCCTCAGCAATACTTCATATTTCCTTCTAGTTGTTATTTATTCTTTTCATATCTGCTTACAATTCTCGATATAGTGAGTTCTTCAGCCTTCCTCTTTTCCACTTTCCTTCAGGATTCCAAGTTAGGGCTTGCCTCGTGGTACAGTATGATGATTTTGTCAATGTGTATCCTATCCACTTCCAACGTCTTTTCCTAATTTCCTCTTCAAATGGAAGTTGGTTTGTTTTCTTCGACAGTAGGCTGTTTCTGATGGCATCTGATCAACAAACATTCAGTATTATTATGGTTGTGCTAGTCCATGAGTTTCAGCTCCATACGGTAGAACTGTTTTAACATTCGTATTGATTTTTTGAGTTCCATATACTCTTCAATTGTAGAAAAACAGTCCTTGCTTTGCCGATCCTCACCTTTACATCTGCACTAGATCCTCCTTGTACATCGATGGTGCTTTTAAGATATGTGAAAGATTCTACATTTTTCAGAGTTGCGCCATCAAGTGTGATTGGATTAGTGTTCTTCATATTGTATTTGAGGATCTTGCTTTTTCCTTTATGTATACTGAGGCCTATTGATGCAGAGGCTACTGCTTCACTAATTGTCTTTATCTGCACTTTCTCGTGTGCGTGGGATAGAAGAGTCAGGTCGTCTGCGGAGTTCAAATCTTCTAGTTGTATCCAAGCTGTCTATTTTATGCATGAATAGTTGTCTACGCAAGATACTCAGCATCCATTAGACGGATACCATCATCAGAAGCTTTTTGTGGGAGAGAACATACCAGATTATAGCTGAAAAGGAATTTAAATGATGCTAGAAGTGGATAGGATACACATTGAGGAAATCATCAAACTGTATCACGGGGCAAACCCTAACTTGGAATCCTGGAGGAAAGTGGAAAAGAGGAAGGCTGAATAACACATTACTCCGTGAAATAGTAGCAGATATAAAAAGGATGAATAACGACTGGAATGAACTGGTAAGGATTGCCGAGGATAGAGTTGGATAGAGATTGTTGGTGAGTGGCCTCAGCTTCTTCATGAGGGTTAGCAGGCGTAAGTACGTCTGTCTTACTCTGTTCATGGATAAATATCCATCAGTTTAAGCCACAAGTCTGTCATTTCTCCCTTATTTTTTTCGACTTTGTCATTGTTTAAAATTTTCGTAATAGTTTTATAAATTGAGGTATTTAAAATCTTTCACTTAACATCCTATCGTTCGTTGTAGTCTTCAGCATTTTACCGCTAACAGTGTGTGAAGTTATGAAATAAAATCATGAATTCATTTTTTCAGAAGGAGGTTTTGTGGAAATTTCAACAATTTCATAGTTGGATTCATGAGTCAATTAAAGATAGACCACCATGGAAAACTTGAAAGTACAGGGCGGCCTACAATGATGGACGGTGGCGGCAATTTCGTGGATTGATTGATATTAGACAATAACACCGTTGGATGCCGGATCAGTCGTCTACAAATTAAGCGTTCCGTCGCAAGACCGATAGGTCCTCGGTTTGAGTCCCGTGAGCGAGATCGTGGATGCGCATTGTTGAGAAGTCTCATACTATGGCAAAACGGCCTTCAAGGTTTTCCATGGTGGTATGGCTCTAATTGACCCATGAATTCAATTACTGAATCCAGTTTTTTCGATCTTACTATAATTATTATATAACCAATTTAGTTGAATGGTACCGTTATAACCTATCTCGTATGATCTCTACAGATTTCGTTTCATTAAAAATCATATATATTAGAGGAAAATGTAGAGAGCGGATTTGTCAATAATTTCATCAGTATAATTTGTCCTTAAATGCGTTATTTATGTAATCTGAAAACGTACTTCAGAAATACCATTAATCAACTATACAATGTATAGCTATATACAATTAATTGATTTTTGATTCAGATCATAAAACGCTTGATGTTAGACCACCATTAAGAACCTGAGAACACTGTACGGAGCTTTCGCCCTAGTACGGGACACCTCAGCAGTGCGCATCCACAATCCCGCTCACTAATGACTAAGTTCGTGAAGGAAATCTCGGAGCTCTAGTGAAAGGACGTGACCAGTGGAGATATTTCGTGTCAGGTAGAGAAAGATATCTACTTCAGGCAATGGAAGATGGTCGCGCAAGTTCGTGGATTAAAGTTACACATTAACACCTCCCCAAACTAGAACGAAATTGGCCCTCCCTCAGTGCCTCCAGGTTTCCAATGGTGACCTAACATCAATCGATTCATGATCTTAATCAAAAAATTAGCAATCACCGCAACCTCATACCGATAATGAATTGATTATTGAGTAGTGATCCGTGTCATGTTTGTCTATCTTTAGTTGGTTTGTCTCAATCTTTCTCTTTTAATCTCTCATTGTATATAATATCTATGGGTTAGATTTTACACCACAAAATCAGGATGTCGATAAAAACAAGGACTTAACAGAGATTTGTGTTTGCATGTAACTATCAAATGAGAGAATTAAAACATTAAATAAAGAATCATTATACGCCATTTGAAATTCAGTAAGTAGTCAACTGATTTCATGCTAAAATTTATCAATGGATTGGTACGTTTCTAAGAATAAGTTTTGGAGGCTACTCACTACATAGTCAACAATACAGACTGACTTTAATTACATAACCGCTAAGAATCGGAAATCACTAAGCATGTTTCATCTTCATATAAAAATCCTCAGCAGAATATACTGATCGAACACAGGACCTACGGATTTAGCACCGAGCTTATGCTTTCAGATCACAGCGTTGACTTCTATTCGTCCACGTTTTCAACTAAAACCAATCTACCTCACACAAAAAATCCTGAAGTTCTCGAAGAAGATAATGGCGTTAACTTAGAAAGCAAAACAATAAACTGAAAGACGCTTTCTGAAAATATCTATCGGTTTTTTAGCTGTCTGTTAAGATATTGTGATTTGTATGAGTCCAAGTAGCTAATACAGTTGTAGAGGGATGCTTCTTATACAATATTTTATCCGAAATCGGTAGACAGACCAATGAATAATATAGGATGATAACAGTGCAACAGTAAGAACTGACAACACAAGACTTGTCATAAGCTAAGGAAATTAGACAGCATCTAAAGGCTGAATGACAAGGAAGAAATCCTGTTGAACGAATACTATTAATCAAGATCTGGCTTAACTATCAGACGGAAGAGAAATACGCTATTGTTTAAGAGTTCGGTCTAATCATCTGAAGGATATACAATATCAATGATCTTGTGCAGATATTTGGTTCCATTAGTCAATAGAATCATTCTACTCATTCTTGATTTCCCCAAGCAAGTAGCAGGCTAGGTGAGTATGACATAATTCTTTAAAAGAGAGGCTTCATATCTCGAATAATAACAAGCAGCTAATAGCTTAAGCGCATTATGTTTGGTATTATTTGGTTGAAATTATTCGAAAATAAATTCTTAGACTTCCGTTTTGTGCACAGTATCACTCATCAGTAAGGAATATTCATTCAAGGTAGTTGATCATCGTAACACCTTTGTTACAAGAAAAAAATCTGTTAAGCTTAAACCTATTGAAAAACCTGTTCACTTATTAAAATAGCTTTAAACGCAAAGAAATCTAAGAAGATGTTAAATTACTTCATGTAAAGACGAAACGTTTCTTAAATCGATCATACAACCAAGACTCTGTTTGAGTCACTATTTATTCCCTGTAAAATTCAACTGAACACACACATCATTATTATGACGTATATCAATATTAATCTAATGATATAAACCCTAACACAATGAAGTAAAAATCTATGACATTGACTTATTGTCGATTCTTTAACACGCTATGGAAAGAATTCAATGAACACTGAAGGTTAATGAACAGTTTACGATTTTATCAGTAAGGGGTTTTGTGGAGATTTTAGTAATTTTATATAGTTGAGATCATGAGTCGCGAGATTCAAACCCAGGACCTATCAGTTTCGCGCACGAGCGCTTAACCTCTAGACCACTAAGCTTACTAAAATCTCCACAACACCCCCTTCTAATAATAGTTATATGCTCACTAGTGACTGGCTTCAAGAGGTATTTTCTGGAGTTCTAGTGAGAAGCAGTGACCAGTGAAATTCGACTAGGTCTGTTGTGAGATAGTAACTCACTGGAGACAATAGTGGATGTGCCACTCAATCTCGCAAGGCGCGATCGTGGACGCGCACTGCTGAGGAGTCCCACAATAGGACGAAACGGCCGTCCAGTGCTTCCAGGTTTTCCATGGTGGTCTAGCTTCAATTGATTCATAATCTCAACGATATAAAAGTATATAATTTCTCAATAAAACTTTAAATCATCGTGGTTGGAGGTGGTCAACAGGAAACCCTGGACCAGGGTTTCGTGCTACTTGGCACTCGTCAGCAAGGTGTACCTGTAATCTTGAGGGAACTGGTGATCACTGACGGATTCGACCCCGTGTCACTCAGCTTCACAGTCAGAGACGTTACCACTGAGCTATTCGGGTCGCGATCAACCTCCTGTAGGACTGAGATGTAATCACAATTGATTGATCACCATCCGGGATCCATCAGGGAGCACCAGTGCTCTCATAATTACATGTACACCTTGCTGACAAGTGCTAAGTAGCACGAGAACCGGGTCCAGGGTTTCCTGTTGACCGCCTCCGACCACGATTTTATCTCAACATAGTTCACGCAGTGTCGAGCCACCTAGACTAGTGGCCACATTGCAACCTGATCGATAGCATTCGGTCAGCATTAAGAAGGACTTGACACACATGACATTGATCACCACCCAGTAATCAATCAATTGTGAAAACTTTAAGCATTCTTATATACACCATTTTATTATTATTGTAGCATTTTATAAAAAAAGGACAGTAAAAAACATACAATTTTTCTTAAGTAAAATACCCTATTCAACACATACACAGAAGTGTAACAAAATACATAGATAGAAGGGGGCGGGAATTTCATTCCATCAACCAAATAAAGACCATAATTCATAATGATTACAGATCTACATTATAGTACAGCTTCATATATTCAGCTTAGAGTTCGTGTAAGGCATCAAGTTACTTATATAGCAGTTCAAACCAAATTAGGTATGGTGGAATTGTAACCTTCAACCTTCTGGTTGAATATCATGTGATGTTTACAGTAAATCACCGTTGACGACCAAGAAAGTAAAAGAAAGCATACAACAATGACAAAATATCAAGTATAGGAAAGGAAAGAGAAGAAATTCTGAAGTTTTCAAGTTAGATATTTTGATCTATAACATCATTACTATCAGTTAATTTACAAAATGCACTGTAATAAAAAGAAAAAGGGATTAATTACATTTTTCTCTATTACAATCATCATTATTATTTCACTTTTAATTCTTGCCATTCTATTTCATCATCTGTTCCAATTGAGCTTGATGACTCGGAAGTAGATGATGAAGAAGTGGATGATGAAGGAGCTGGTGAAGGAGGTGGTGATGAAGATGAAGATGAAGAAGAGGATGTTGAAGATGATGATGATGACGATGAAGGAGTTGGTGGTCGTCGTTTAGACACTTTAGTTTTCTTCTTATTTTTCTTTTTCTTCTTGTCAGTTTTTTTATGCTTTTTAACTTTTTTCAATTTAGCTTTACGCTTTTTAGCATGTTTTTGCTTTGATTTTGACTCAGATAATTTATGTTTAGTTTTCTTTTTTGATTTTGTCACTGCTTCTTGTTCTTTCAACTTGTCAACTGTATGTTGATATGGTAGTTTAGGTGTTATACTTGGTGTAACTGACTTTGATTTCATATCATCGATACTTTCAGAATGTTTAAATGGGATAGGACCTTCTTTTTGTAATTCATCCCAACCATCATGACCCCAACGACCAGTGTCACAATGTCGACGAGCAAGTGTTCGCCAAAACTCTTTAGCATTTTGTCCACCAGCAGCGCTTGGTAATGTACGGGCAGAAAGTAATTCTACACTACGTTTAGCTTCTGTACGAAGTGCACGTTCATAAGCATCTAATGCTTGTTCTGATTGAGCACAATTTGATTCAGGTGATCGATCACGAGATTCATTTGATCTTTTATGACGACGTTTTATTTCTCTCCAACATTGTTCTTCTTCCAGGACCTATAGAAGGTTAACCAAGTGTAAAACAGTCAGAGTCCATGAAATAAATAAATATTATTAACTTGAGAAATTAAAAAAAACTCACTTTCTGTTTTGTTGATCCCAGCTAAATAGCAAGCACAAAGTAATATATGTAGAAGAGATATATAATTACGTTAAAACAATTCCTAATATTGTAAGCAAAGATGGATAGCGACTAGCAGTGGAATCCAGGACGCGCGTTTCGTCCTATTTAAGACTCGTCAGCTGGATCTTCTTGCATTTCAGAGTTGATGTTCACTCTGGGACTCGAACCCAGTACCTTTCAAAAAAGTAATACTAAGTGAATTTAAACTTCACCCCATTGCACAAGCAAGTGGCTATCACGACTCAGTGGACAAGTAGATAACGCGATTGCGTTTGAAGCGAAAGCTACTGGGTTCGAGTCCCAGAGTGAACATCAACTCTGAGATGCAGGTACATCCAGCTGACCAGTCCCAAATAGGACGAAACGTGCGTCAAACTGGATTCCACTGTTAGCCACTATTCATCTTTGCTTACCATGCTTGTGAATTAAGGCTATATCGAGGCAATACGCATAATATGTACATATGCCAATAAGAGACTAACCAGTTGCAGTCCTAACACATCGATGGGAAGATTCAAACAAACAATACTAAGTGAATTTAATTCTTAATATTGTGTGTTAATGGGAATTTTCTCTCTCTTTGAAATTTGATTCTATTACTGTCAACTTGTTTCCGTTGTTCCATAAACCTGACTTTTAACTATTGTCTAGGAAGTCTGGTTTCGCTTGACACATTTTATTTATGTCTTGAAAAAATTTACTTAACTACAGTTTTTGAATTGTCATGAAGCTCAAATGTAAATACTAGAGCTTTCAACTCATACACTTCAACGTCCCCTTCAGTTGAAAATTAGGAAGAAAGCTTTATATCTAACTGCAATACCATTATACCACAAATGTAAATTTTTTAGCTGTTAAGTCAGTCAGTCAACTACAACGTAGGACCACGCACATATATACATCAGTCCAAAATGCTATACCTCATTATCATAACAAGATGAACACCAAATTCATAGATGTAGTTACTTCAATGATAGTAATATATAAGAAGAGGTTGTATATAAGAATATAATACAGGAAGAAAGAATTAGTTCGTTGAAAGAAAGGTATAAAGTAATTTTAATTCCACGGTTTAGGGGGGACAAAGAGCATATACATCTCCGCCATTGTGATCGATTCTGAGATATGTCACCCAAAGTCTTCAACCATTAGTTACGATAGTCACGCGGACCTCAATCAAGTATTCTGCATCTACCAATATGGCTTAGACTAGAAGTTAGTGATTTTACGGACTGATCCCATGTTTTGGTTTGGCCACTCTTGACTAGCTCTTAAATCCTTACGTGAAGGTAATTTTAGGCTATTCTAGGTGAATTTTGTGCATAAATTGATCGGTAAATAATTACATTCCGGTACACAATGTATGATGGAAAGTATTAAAAAATTCACTTCAGTGAAAAGCAAGGAAGGAAAATTCGCCAACAGTGAACAATAAATCCTATAGTTTAAAAACCATATGAAGGCTTGTATGAATGAAATCATTCAAAACACTAAACGATTTCTATGCATCTATGGTTGTAAATTTTATACCAAACTATCAATCTTATGAATATTACGTTCGAAGATAATTGGTAGCTAGTAGTGGAATCCAGTTTAACGCGCATTTCATCCTATTTGGGACTCGTCAGCTGGATGTACCTACAATCTAAAGTTAATGTTCAATCAGAGACTCGAACCCAGTATTATTCGCTTCAAACGCCATTGCCTTATCTTCTTAGCAACTGAGTTCTGATAGCCACTTGCTTGTGAATCAAGGCAATCCGCACAGAGTGCACATATGCTAGTAAGAGACTGATCAATTACAGTGCTAAACATCAATGGGAAGATTTTAAACAAACAATATCAAATGAATCTAATACGTTTGAACTATCTTTAATCTACTGAACATTTGAACAGTCAAGTAGTATCAATAGCCCTCTTTTAAAAAGAAAAAAAAGTATAAGTTGATGACTTGATGTATTCTTTAAACAATTCCTAAACACTATTACAAATCAAGTTGTTGTTGTTGTTATATATAAATCAGAAGGGGTATTGTGGAGATTTCAGTATTTTTCATGGTAGAAATCACGAGTCCATTGAAGCTAGACCATCATGGAAAACCAAGGAAGCACTGAACGGCCGTTTCGTCCAACTATGGGACTCCTCAGCAGTGCACATCCACGATCCCGTACTCGCGAGATTCGAACCCAGTACTTCCAGGTTTTCCATGGTGGTCTAGCTTCAATTAACTCATGATTTCAACCATGAAAAATAACTTCATTAAAATCTGTATTCAATTAGTATCATATTTTAAATAATTACTGGGAAAAATACTTACTCGATTATGGGTAGTAGCATGTTTGACATAATTATCAACCAACTTTTTATCCTGGAATTTAAAAAGAAAAGGGGTAATTATTGAAGAAACATGTTTTTGTGTAACTTGAATGTTAAGTTCATTCCATATTTATTTATTTAAACACATAAATATTGGTACAAAGTGGCACGAGATATATATGTGTCGCACAAATCTCATTTGATCTGTGTGAGGGTTGTGATACTGCCCAGGTGCCGAAACCGAAACAGGTGGTTTTCTTAGGGGGCCACACCCGGAGCCTTTGACCTAAAGGTCTGATTCACAAGGCAGTGGAGCATCGTAAGGAGATACAATCCCATGGTAGTCAGTGACCAACAATTGATTCATACGCCATTTGTTCCATCAGGATACTAGAGCCAGCCCATGAGCACCATTGGTTCGGAATCAGGGTTTTCCAACTCTCCTAGGTGGATCCTCCATGTCAGACATTCGCTTTTCATCCTCTCAATTTCGTAAACAACACCCCTGGTATGAGAATGCAGTGAGTAGGACTTCCATGGCAGAAGCTACTTACGCGTGGTCGTGTGAGAGCATTTCGAGAGAGAGAGCTGACTCTCCCCACTCTTCGCCGTACCAGGGCTTTGGGGGCCTATATAAAGTCCTATTATGGACAGTCAGTGACGAATAAATGATTAATGAATGTTAATAAACTGAGATTATTTTAGAAGCTTTTAATATTCAATGTGTGTGTGTGTGTTGTACTCAGAATTGTTAGCTATTTAGAAGATGAGTGTTTCTATATTAGAGCTTTATTCCCAATGAAGATTTTAATTATATTATGTTTGTTTATCATTTGAACACTGGATGTGTTCATAAGAGATATAAAGACAAATAATTTAAAATGAAATCCATTTAAATATGCAGCACTTATTCATTAGTTGAAAAATTACTGAAAGTGTTCAGTATAATACATTTATTGAGTATTGAAAACGTTGAGGATAAGTTCAACAATATTAATATAATATAGAGTTGAGATCATGAGTCAATTGAAGCTAGACTACCATTGGAAAACCTGGAAGCACTGGACGGCCGTTTCGTCCTATTATGGGACTCCTCAGCAGTGCGCATCCACGAACCTGCTCTCGCGAGATTCGAACCCGGGATCTACCAGTTTCGAGCCGAAACCCTTAACCGATAGACCACTGAGCTGGCATTCAACGGTGTTAATTTCTAACTTCAACTTCAATTGATATTAATATAAACTCAATTGTGAATATGAACTTATCTATTTGAATTTGGAATTACAACTTAAGCAAAAGAATAGTGATACTATACAAACCGAAATAGATAAAGTAAGAATTCAAATTGTAATTGTTGAAAGCTAAATGATATATGATCATCAACACATTGTCAATAATTTTGAAAGAACTAATCCTCATATCTGAACTCCAATCCATATTATTTACTGTCAGTTAAAAACATTATCATTGAAATATTTTGACCAATAATGAATTCAGTTTGATATAAATTTTCAGTTATCAATAAGACCAAAATATTAATCCTTTGAAAATATCTGAATGGTGTCACTAAATATCACAGTCAGTTAGACAAGTTTTGAATTGTCTATATAAGAATTAAGTTAAATAGATTACTGAAGATTAATTCTCAATGTTAAATGGATTTTCTTGAACAATATGATTAAAACATCATTGGACGGCCGTTTCGTCCTATTATGGGACTCCTCAGCAGTGCGCATCCACGAACCCGCTCTCGCGAGCGAGACACGAACTCAGAACCTACCAGTCTCAAGCCGAAGCCCTTAACCGATAGACCACTGAGCTGGAATCAAACGGTGTTAATGTCTAACTTCAACTGATCCACGAAGTTGAGCGACCATTCACTAATTGTCTTCAGTGAGTTCCTATCTCACAACAGACGTGGTTTTGAACTCCACTGGTCACTGCTTCTCACTAGAGCTCCTAGATATACTTCTCGAAGTCACTAGTGAGCATATGATTATATGAGGAGCCCCATAATAGGACGAAACGGCCGTCCAGTGTTTCCAGGTTTTCCATGGTGGTCTAGCTTCAATTGACTCATGCTTTCTACTATGAAAAATAATAAATCTCCACAAAACCCCTTCTGATATTTAAAACATCATTACTATGTTAAGTTATTTACTTTGCTGGAATGTAGACTGGATGATGATAGTAAGTTGATGAGAAAAAAAACACGTCATTTAATCTATAAATCGTGCTTTTTTTGATGTTTAACAACAAGGTCAATGATCAATGAACTCGATGAATATGAGTATTTGAAAGACTTAAGTTTGAATTGTACTCACGTACGTTATTTCAACAACTGTGATATTCATTACATAACTACTTTTTAAATGTGCTATTTCGTTTGTTCATAAAGAGTTAAATTATCTAAACTCATGTTATCATTGTGAGTAGTATACTTACTGAAGTCTTTGGCTAAAGAAATTTAACCAATTATAAATAAAAGTCGCCCCCAAATGCTCTGGTACGGCCGAGAGTAGAAAGGGGCCGACCTCCCTCTCCAAATACTCTCACATGGCCACACGTATACAGCCTCTGTCAGAGAAGTCCTACTCACTGCCTTCTCACGTCTGGGGTGTTGTTTACTAAATTGAAAGGACGAAAAGCGAATGTTCGGCGCTTTGACAGGGTTGGTGGACATGGAGGTTCCAATGGTGCACATGGGCTCCAGTATCCTGAGGGAACAAATGGCGTATGAATCAATGATTGTTGACCGGCTACCATGGAACTGCATCTCCTTACAATATTTCACTGCCTTGTGAATAAGATCTATAGGTCAAAGGCTCCGGGTGTGGCCCCTAAGAAAACCACCTGTTTCAGTTTCGGCATCTGGGCAGTATCACAGCCCTCACACAAATCAAATGAGATTTATGCGGCGCATATGTATTTGGTGCCACTTCGTACCAATATTTATGTGTTTAGATAAATAAATAATAAATAAAAGACAAACGAATAAAATCTACGCATGAGAATAAAACAAATGGTTTCCCTATTCAAGAAATACTATTTTAAAAGAAAAATGTTGGACACCATCATTACAACTGAGTCTAATATTTTACACTTATAAGATAATCCATAGATTTGACGAGCCTATTCACTAAAAGCTGTCCAATAAAATGAGCTACAGTCTAAGAAGTATTCAGTTAGTGATAAGCAATGTACAACCTGTCATATTTGTGTATTGGTTCAAAGTATCACTTCATATCGGCACCGACAATTCGAATTATCAGGACAAATCCCAAAGTAGTAGTAGTAGTAGTATCAGAGATGATAAGAAACATTAAGCATAGGCAATATGATTTGAAAAGAAAGAATGGATTCTCATCATAAAAGTTATAATTTTAAAGTCCATGATCGAAGAGGAGACAAAGAATCAATACACCTGTGACACCGTGATTGATTATTACCCACATATAATAGTTTCATGTTATTTGAATTGATGTAAATTAGACACTGACTGGATGTCGGTTCAAATGTCTAAAGAGTAAGCATTTGAGCGAGTGACTGAAGGCTTTTGAACCGATTCCCAGACGTAGAATCGTGGATAAGCATTGTTGATGAGTCCCATATTATGAAAAATAAATAGCTGTCCAGTACTTCCAAGATTTAATGGTGGTCTAACTGAAATCAAATCGTGATATAATGTTCGATACTATTTAGATGAAATTCTACTTCGACCTAAAAATTATTTCTAGTCAGATTTATAAAAAAAATAACAGTTATCATAGCTTTCAGTCAGTCAGTCAGCCACAACGTAGGACCAGGCACATATATGCATCGGTCCAGGTTGTCATACCTCTTTAGCACAACAAGATGAACACCAGATTCATAGAAGTAATTAATTTAGTGGTGTTGTATCATAGCTTTAGACAAATTTTAAAAAAATAGTTTTATTTAACTTCAATTATCGATGTATATATGCGCCACACAAACTTCATTTGATCTGTGTGAGGGCTGTGGAACTGCACAGGTGTCCAAAACGAAACAGGTGGTTTTCTTAGGGGGCCACACCTGGACTCTTCGACCTAAAGATCTGATCCACAAGGCAGTGGAGCATTGTGAGGAGATGTAGTCCCATGGTAGCCGGTGATTGATTTATACGCCATTTGTTCCATCAGGATCCTAGAGCCCATGTGCACCATTGGTTTGGAATGAGGGTTTTCCAACTTCCCTAGGTGGACTGTCCATATCCACCAACCCGGTTAAAGCGCCGAACATTCGCTTCTCGTCCTCTCAATATCGTAAACAACTACCCCGTCACGAGGGTATTGTTTACGAAATGATATATTCGAAATAATATATACAATCAGATGAGCTTTCAACGACTTCAGCCATAAAACTCATGTTTAATTACGCTACATACTTCAAAAACACATAACACGTTACGAGATGATTATGTACACATATAACTTCGGTTTTGTCATTCGACTAAAATAAGATTTAGTTGAAGTATTGTGAAATTAAATTGTAGGTTTTATCTGCCACAGATTGATCTCAGCAATGGACAGTTGTTTCACGCTAGTGCGAGGCTCCTCAGTAATGAGCTGAAAAACTTAAAGGTCCTGGGCTCAGTCCCTAGAGGAACCACAAGTACCCACTACTGCCGAATAGCAGAGTACAACAAGTCACCACCTCAGTGCTCTCTGGCTTTCGATGGGAAGTTGAAATTCATAATTCGTAAATTAAAAATTCTCTATACTGAAGCTATAGATTAACTACTACCAAGAATTAATCATAATATGTCAGTTCAAAAGATATAAGTTGACCTAATGATTGACAAGGATTTCAATTTCTTACAAAACGTATCTCTAAGTCAACGGGAATATGAATTTAGTCCAAGATCTGGACCTCAATTATTGGAAATCACGATAACACGTTTCATCACTAATTGATTTAAACCGCTAAGAAAAAACCGAAACTGAACGATTATTTTGATAACACTGTTTTTTAATATAACTACATAATTGATGAATGTACATTGTTCAATGAATTAAAGTTCATAAAGATAGA